TGCACTTCCTCCAGGACAGATCTGTTAGTTCTTTTAGCAGTATGAGTAAGTCATTGGTGTTGCAAAATTATATCATGTGATCCCTATTGTCATTTCTATCACCAAGGCCATATTTTCCAACTACTGGTGATTCTTCTTTGTTTGCAACTTTCGCGTTCCACCTCCAGTAATAATCAACACATCTTGATTACATGTTTGGTCAATTTTAGACTACAGAAGTTGTTAAAAATCTTTGATTTCCTCATCTTTGGCTTTGGTGTTTGGTGCATAAATTTGAATAATAGTAGTATTAACTGGTCTTCCTTGTTGTTATTTTTGTTAGGTGCCATCAAGTTGTCTACAACTCATAGCAACCCTATATACAGGAGAACAAAACACTGCCCAGTCTTGTGCCAGCTCCACAATCCCTGCCATCATTGGCAGCCACTGTGTCAATCCATCTTTGCTGAGCCCTTCTCCTCTTTCATTGACCCTCCACTTTACCAAGCATGATATCCTTCTCCAGAGAATGGTCTCTTCTTACAACATGACCAAAGTAGGTGAGATGAAGTCTGGCCATTCTCACTTCAAAGGAGCATTCTGGCTGCACTTCTTCCAGGACAGGTTTGTTAGTTCTTTTAGCAGTCCATGCTATTTTCAGCATTCTTTACAACACCACAACTCAAAAGCATAGACTCTTCTTCAGTCTTCCTTATTCATTGTCCAGCTCTCACATGCATAGGAGATAATTGAAAATACATGGCTTGTGTCAGGTGTACCTTAGTCCTCAAGTAGACATCTTTGCTCTTCAGCACTTGAAAGAGGTCTTTTGCAGCTGATTTGCCCAGTGCTATCTGTCATCTGATGTCTTGACTGCTGCTTCCATTGAAGCTGATTGTAGAACCAAGTAATATGAAGTCTTTGACAACTTCAATCTTTTGTCTATTTGTTGTGTTGCTGCTTATTTGTCCAGTTGTGATGATTTTTGTTTTCTTAGTATTGAGGGGTAATCCATACTGCAGACTGTAGTCTTCATTCTTCATCAGTAAGTGTTTCAAGTTATCCTCACTTTCAGCAAGCAAAGTTGTGTTGTCAGTGTATTGCAGGTTAATGACTCTTCTTCCAATCCTAATGGCATGTTCTTCTTCCTTGTGTGGATATGGATATTATCCTATCACTGACAGCATTGTACTTCAAGATAGATCTTGAAACACTCTTTGTGATGATGAAAGCCACACCTTTCCTCTTCAATTTGTCATTCCTGACATGGTAGATCATATGGTTGTCTGGCTCAGAATGGCCAAAAACAATCCATTTTAGCTCACAAATGCCTCAGATATGGATCTTTATGCATTCCATTTCATTTTTGACAACTTTCAATTTTCCTAAATTCATACTTTGTCCATTCCATGTTCTGATTATTAATGGATGTTTGCAGCTGTCTTCCCATTTTGAGTTGTGCCACATCAGCAAATGGTGATCCCGAAAGCTTTACTCCAACTACATCATTAAGGCTGACTCTACTCTGAGGTGACAGGTTTTCCCCAGTTGTATTTTGACTACCTTCCAACCTGAGGGTCTCATCTTTTGGCACTATATCAGACAGTGTTTCAGGGCTATTCATAAAGTTTTCCAGTAATATATGAGACAGTGTTTCACTGCTATTCAGTGTTTTCACTGGCCATTTCTTTGAGAAGTAGATGGCCCCTTCCTTCTTCCAAGTCTGTCTTGTTCTGGAAACTCTCCTGAAACATGTCCACCATGGGTGACCCTGCTTGTATTTGAAATACCAGTGGCACAGCAACAAGCAAGTCACCACAGTATGACGAACTGACAGATGAGAAATACATAATACATACGTGTGTGTGTGTTATGTATTTTTTTTTTTTTTTAGGTTCTCTGGTGGCATAGGGCCTATGTACCACAGTTTGGTTATCCATTCCTTCATTGATGGGCACTTAGGTTGTTTGTGTGTCTTTGCTATTGTGAATAGTGCTGCAGTGAACATGGGTATGCATATATCTGTTCGTGTCCAGGCTTTCAATTCTTTAGGATGTGTACCTAGTAATGGGATTCCTGGATTTAATGGTATTTCTATTTCCAACTTTTTTAAGGAATTCCTATACTAATTTCCACAGTGGTTGTATCATTTTATAGTTCCAACAGCAGTGTATGAGAGTCCCAATCTCTCCGCATCCTCGCCAGCATTTCTTATGTTCTGTCTTGTTGAACATTGCTGTTAGTGCTGGAGTAAAATGGTGTTGTGGTTACTTTGTGCTGCTCTAACAGAAAATACCACCAATGGGTGGCTGATCAAACAGGAGTTTACTCTCTTACAGTTTTGGAGGCTGGAAGTCTGAGTTCAGCATGCCAGGCTCTAGGGGCTAGGTGAAAGTTCTTCGACCTTGGGCTTCAACTCTGCTTCTTGCTCCAAGCTCACTGAAGTTGGAGGCTTTCTTCCCTCAGGCAGCTGCCAGCTGCTGAGGCTGACAAACCCAAGGTCAACCAGTAAAAAGGCACAGTCTCAATATTACCAAACCACTCAGCAGGCCACTGATTCAAGTCCGTTGAGAGTCCAAGATCAGCAGACAACATGGCAGACTGCTGAACAATAATGACTCAGCTACATGCAGGATTCAAGCGTGCCAAAAAGCTGCAGACTATTCCCAAAGTTTCTTCTTATATATCGGAAGCAGACAGCATCCTTAAAGTAGCTACTCAGCTGCTTGCAACAGATTCCACCATGGAGTTGATTGTCAATTTCATCATGAGGAATAACTACAGCCAGCTGCCCAGCCACTTAAAACCAAGCCCAGCCAAGTTGACACATAACCTTTGCTATTACAGATGGTATCTTGATGTTGTTATTTGCATCTCTCTAATGGCTAGCACAGGAGCTCTGGTAGTGTAGTGCCTAAGGCACTTGACTGCTAACCAGAAGGCTGGCAGTTCAAACCCACCAGCAACTCCTCGGAAGGAAGCTTGAGCAATCTACTTCCATAGTGATACTGCCT